TGCTACAAGCTAAGTAGAGGTTAAACGAATAAAGGGGGTAACTCCTTTGAGTGGTAACAAGACAATTCAGTTTTAACAATTAAATAATAATGCAATTTGGCCACCGTAAAGAGTTTCTAAAGCTGACGTTTCGAGCCATAGCCCTTCGTCAGGCTCCGGTGAGTCGAGAAAGTTGATCTTTTAATCCAGGAGGAACTCGTGTTTGTGTGTAAAAAAAAAAAAATTTTGTCAAGTTTTCAGCGTGGTTTGCCTCTTCAATGCCACGTAATACCTTCACGGGTCAATTTTTGATTTCAGTTTTTGATATTTTTACCGCTGTATTGGGGAGAAACCATGTCCTCTAACTACGAGCTTGTGTTCTTGAATGACTACAGTTGTATTTCTCATGAACTGATTTATATCGCTGACCTCTCATGGGAAGGGTCATTTGCATTTCACCGCTAAAACAATTTACTTCGTCCAATGGATCGCTGAAAGCAACTTGAACTAGAATGCTTCCATTAATAGCTGCGATAAAAAAGACGCAACCTCTTCCAATTTATACGATATTTCCTATACCGCAACTACTTCATAAATTCATGCAGCTACATAGTTGAATGCGTTGAGGTTAAATGCAACCAACTAATGGGACTTTATCAGTCCATTAATGCTCCGGCCACTTGATATTATTGTGTTGTTAATTTACAATTCGTTCCTGCATCGATGAAGAATACGTGAAAGAAGAACTATTGTTTCAGGTGAATGCTCATTCTGCGAAATCAGAAACCATTGTATTAAAAATAAATATATATTTCTTAGAAATCGGAGGTCATTTCAACAATATTTAGCCGGTAAACCTTGAAGCGATTATTTTAAACTTTGTTCGACTTCTCGTTTGCTTATATTCGCATGAAGACAACGAAACCATTTGGAAAACATACCCTCTGATTTAAAAAGAAGCGATTTTTGCAAAGGTTTTTAAGGGGATGCTTAGGAAGAGATCGTGTCATATCAGTTCCGTTTGACAGAGGACGAGAAGGACGCAAATCTTAAGGTTGACTCCAAATTATTATTCTATCCTTCTCCTGTTTCCTAGAAAAGCGGAAGTGTTCACGCGAATAATCTCGATTGGCTAGTTTTTATAGCCTCAAAACAAATTGATGTCACCTGATAAAA